GTCACTTTGATATTTCAAATGGAATTTAAAGGCTGTGCACCCAACGCTAGTGTGAGATGACTTGCTTTCTGTATCCCATTTCCTGCCTTTTTTTTGTCCTGTGTATTGTCAAAGTATAGGCTAGTCTTGCAAATACCGTGAAGTATCACATTTCCATTTATACTCAATTGTTGGTAAGCTATTACACTCCCCATGTTATACCTATTCATAGTGGAGTCACTTCTGATCGATGAAGTTAAGTGGGAGAAATGATGGAAGGGATGCAGCAGGGTTGTATTTAATAGAAACTTTTTACAGAAGTTCTGAAAACAAGGGAATTTTGTCATAGAAAGTTTTCAAGGAAGGAAAGAATTCCTTCTTCTCTGCTTTACTATTGACACTCCCTAAGTGGCAGTATATAAAATGCTTAAAGCTACAAAGACGTATCTGGAAACATTTATATTCAACAGATTCGGCTAAACGTTAAATATTACTTTAAAAACAGGATCATCTTCATGCAACCCAAGTTGTCTAGAGCAATGTATTTCTTACTCCCTAAAGCATAACCCACCTGAAGATGAAAAACAAGTTGAGCTTTTTTACAAAAAGCCACTTTGTCCTTTTCCTTCCTCTTTATATCACAGAAGGGTATCTCTGGTGTACCAGGAGACATTTGAACAATACATTTGTTGTTGAGAGAGACTGTGCTGGCCATCAGATGCTGTTGAGATTGGAAACAAAGCCACGGGGCAATACCACCTCCTTGCCTAGAGTTTCCTATATGACGATGCAGACAAAGAATACTCTTCAGTTGACTGTGCTTCAGAATGGTGCTTAATGAAATTCAAAAGTTCACCCCAAAATACCTTAGGAAAAACTCTGTACATGACACTTAACAATTTAGGCCTGTTCTAAACAACAACAACAACTAAACAGCAGTCCATGCTTGCCTGAGAGTAAGTATTGCTTACTGCAAGATAGCAGATAGTGATATAAAATATACAAATATAAAAGAGAAGTAGAAGGGATAATTAAGGGTATCTGGTGCAAATTGCCATTGCTGGACTCATTGTGTAAAATTCAAGACAATATATTAAGTGTAAATACTGAGAAATAGACTAGGTGTGTTGTGAACTGGCGTGTGGAAGGGAAGCAGTAGGAATGATGGAGCTGATTAGTGTTGCATCTTATAATCTCATTGATTTTTCTTCTGCCTTTGCTGTGTAATTTATAGCCGACAGCTGCTTAGAGTTTTTTTAATTTCAAATCAGCAGCTGTTAACTTTGTTACCTTTGAAGCTGTGCCCTATAAAAAGTTTTGTGGATTCCATATCTTCTTACACTATGAATGACACAAATTTCTGTGATTTCTAAAGCAGCAGAATTGCCATACTTATGCCCAAAATAGTTTTAAGTGATTGAAATCACATTTTAAGTGATTTGTTCACAGCAAAAAGTTGGAGGAGGGGAAATTGGGGATGCTGTTTCCCCTTTAAATACCTATCAATCCCTAGTTAATTCTTTTTTTCCTTGTTCCAGCTATGCAACAGTAGTTCCAGCCAAGTATAGTTTTTGATCTAACAGACGTGATCAGATTCATGGAGTTCATCATAAGCATGCTTCATTCTGCCTGGATATCAGATAAAATTCTAGATTTCCTGATTAGCAAAGAACATCATACCCTCTGACCCGCTAAAAACAACATGTGGTTTCTTGGTTAGGGGATCTCAGCAGGCCTTGCTTGTGACAAGAGTAAAAGTTATTTCTCTCTCTGTTATGTTTCTTCAGCAAATGTTTTAAAAATTGCTTAAAGAACCTAAAAGGTCATTTGAAAGCCTTATTTTTATTGTCACTGCCTCCAAAATACATTCCATAGCTCAGTTTAATGTGATCCACAGCAGGCCAAGAGTTTTTTACAAGCCAAGATATTATGTCTAGTCCAGTTAGAGACAAGGCAGAGTTCAGTGAAAAGGGGCGAGTAAAAATCTAATTTTCAGAAACTTAATTTTGCAAGGCCAGTAAAACATTGAAGGAGAATGTCTCTGTGCCTTCAATTTTGATGGCTGAAATCATTCATAATCCCTTTTAAGGTAAAAGAGCCCTGTCCAATGAGGATAGGGTTCAATGAGGATAGGTTCCAATGAGGAAAAAGTCTGAGAACTTCTGTTTAACATCATGTCAAGACAAGATTCACCCATCTCCCAGAATGTTCACCTTCCTGTAGAGAGGCTCTTTTTTTTCCTGGCCTTATCACCCAAAAATCAATGCAGAGAATACATGGGGGTTGGAACTTGTAGGCTGAGAAATCTCCATCATTGGAGATACTCAGAGTCATTTGAACATGGTCCTGAGCAATGCACTCCGGGTGTATGAACAGGGGGGTTGCACTAGATGATGTCCAGAAGTCCCTTCCAACCTCAACTATTCTGTGATTTACTTTGACATAAATAAGACCATATTTTGTTTGGTCCGTTTTATACAGTACATGATTGCTATTAGCAGGGTACCTCATCCTGTTAAATATTTACAAATAAAAGTACAACTTCTTATTCACCAATTCTTCATATCTTAGCATCTGACAAGAAAATTGTTTTGTTTTACGATGGTGATTGTACTCTGAGTGAAGTGGGGATATATGCCTGAGAGCAATCATGAACGCGGAACTGTCTGCACTGCAGAAGTTTGTTCTATGTTCAGTTTTCTGTTTCGTTTTTATCTGTGATGAGAGCAATTTTGTACTTTAGAGAGTTATCCTGTGAAAGTTTAGTTTCTTACACTCATATTTTTTTTTGTTATGACCAACAGTTTAACTGCTGCAACAATATAGCTGTTGCTGATAATTCATCTTCATTCCTGAGAGAGTAATCTCTTAGGGAGTGAAGTCCTATCCCCTTTTGAGTTCAGTGGCAGAAAATTTTGGCAGGTGTCTGGCTAGTTCTGAAAAGCAGCATGTATTAGTCCGTGTTAGCACCCCTGCTAGCAAAGCCAAGCCAGCTATGAAACCTTCCTTGGATATGTGTTTCAGAGGGTACAGAAATAAACTTGTGTTCAGGAGACTGCAAACCCAGGCAGCTCAGAAAGTGGTGCGCTCAGGGAAACCTTTGCTCCAGATAAGAAAGATATGTTTCTGCTGCAGCTTGCTAGGATTCTTTCATCACTGATATAGTTCATTTTGATATAGAAGTAACCAGTGTATGATTCATTGAGTCCCCAAGATGTTTCATAACTCTTGGCTGGAGATGAATGTTCTTCACTGTGGGTATTTGATCATCAAATTTGAGGAATCTAAAGGTGCACCAAGAATAATGGCTGATCCAGAACACTGTGTTGGGTGTTTTGTATCGTGGAGGAGAGACTAAGGCATGCACTGAAATACTTCCCTGTCCATCGGCACTTTTTTAATCTTTCTAATCTTCAGCTATATCAGTTCCATTTTATGTTGTGTAGCATTTAAGTTAAGCATTATTAAGTTAAGTTACGTTGTGCAGTTATTTAAGTTAAGCATTGTTAAACTAGGCAGATGTTATTGAATACGATTGTATGGAAAAACGGGGAAAGCTGCATACCATATAAGGCTGTGAAGGAAATTCCTTGTGGTCTTTAATAGCTATACAAATACCGTGGAAGGATGGAGTGCACCTTGAAGAAACATCTTCAAGTAAGTGTTTGACTTTCGAAGAAAAATTGCCTGTGTCGCACTCCCCACTCAGACAGTTATCCTCAGTCATTCATGAAAGTGGTTTGGCTGCTAAACGTGGGTGACATTCACTCAACCTGCATGGTGCAGAAAGTTCAACTCCTCCGTATTTTTCTTTATTTCCTTATTTTTCATATGAGTCCGTGCACTCTTCTCACTGCTGCTAGACATTTTAATGTGACCACCAAGTTTCGGTTGCACAAATTTCTTAATAAGCTAGAGGTCTTAATTAACCTACATGAGGGCAATGAAATAAGTCTTCAGCCTCTTTTTGTAAGCAGTTTCTCTAGGTTTTGCTCTCATTTCCTTCATTCTTTTGGGGCTAAGAATATATTTTGTTTCACATAAAGACATGACTTACACTTTGCATGCATCGTAAACTTGTTTATGCTGATATTGTAATGAAGGAATGTCAAAAATGTGAAGTGAACTTGGGGGTTTTTCCAATTGCACTATGGACTAAATTGCATTAATCTAAAAAGTGTGACAGAAAATGTTGAAGACAGTGATGCTTAGCGTGTGTAGTCACATAGTCACTTGTATCTGAAGACAGAATGCAAACAGAAATGGTAGAAGTTCTGTCAGAGCTGGGCTTCACATAACTTCATAGCAAAACAGAGATGGGGTTCAGATAAATTCTGAGCAAAATAAGAAACAATATTTTGACTTAGATTTTACCATTTAAATTCAGCTAAAATGCTGCAGACTAGTAATGACTAAGATGGTGCAGATGTGGGCTAGAACATGGAAATTACAGAAAAATAAAGGAAAACAAATATGAGGACATTATTTGCAAGGATTTGAGTTGACAGCAGGATTCTTACAGTTTTATCTTTCTTGTATTTTATACCTTGTAGAAAGACCTAAGAAGATTTAACAGCAAAAAATCCAGTAGAGCCCATTAAAGGTCCAATACGCCTTTTATAAGTTCTTTCTGAAACTATACAAAATAACACATTAGATGATTCTTTGTACAGACTGAGAACCTCCTGACAGAGAGAAAAGTATCTTAAAATGCTGTGGTGTTTTTCCTTAGAAGATTTTGTTGACTAAATGACACATGACAAGTGTTTTTATGCTTTTGAGTTGCTAAGTACTTGATATTTGGTTTGACATAGATATGCCAAAGATATTTGATTTGGTACTTGATATGGCATAGAGTTTTACTCAATATCTCTAAATTTGAGACCTTGAGTCTTTAGAGTTCTTTCACCTTGCATGTTAGAGTTCATTTTTCATCTGAAAGACTTGTGTAATTATTACTTCTAATTGTTTGGTTCTTCTTTCTTCTTTTTTGCCTGCCTTTGGATTTTATGACCGTACAGTAAGAAGGACACTAAAAAGCGGACTAACACCAGAAGAAGCCAAAGCATTGGGCCTGATCAGCACCTCTGAGATGCAGGTTTAATGTCCTGGAGGTGGCAACGAGAAGAGCCGTTACCTTTACCACGCGGGCTGTCCCATTCAGTGCAACGTTGTCCTGCCGGCCTCGTCTGCTGCTCCCAACATACCATCCTCTCTGTTAATTCAATTTCAGTAAGAAACAAAAAGAGAAAACCCACAACTAGGGCAGAAGAAGGGTATGTCACAGCTCAGCACTACATCCAACAATAACAAAAGAAGCGTTGAGTTCTCGTAGGTGAAAGCTTATGGCTTCTTCTCTCATAATGTGTTGACTTGGGTACGAGCAGGTTCTCTCTGAGTTATATTTCATGATGTGAACTGTATTTCTTATGTTGGCTTTCCTTGTGGCCTGTTTTAGTCATTGTAAAAATATGGCATTTTGTCAATGCAAGGAACAGTCCTTAAAGAGGCGAAATAACTCTTGTTAAAGCTGCGCCCAATCTCTGTGAAGCAGATTCATTACGCAAAGGTGCACAACTGGTGCAGTGTGCTCCTTTTTTTTTTATTTTGCCACCAAAGAATGTACAAATGTATGTGTACTTTGGTATATGTACAGAGTGAATGTGTAGATATTTATGTGTGTATCTATGCACATATAGTCAAAGTGTGAAATCACTCCCCACTGCAGTTAGTGGGGTGGTGATTTTCATGAAGGCGCCTTACAATTCCACGTGGACAGTAGGAAAAAAATGTCTTTTCATGGAAGTTTCATATTAATGAGTGGGGTTCACCCTGTGGAGTAGCAGGTGGCCTACAATACAAGTGGAAAGTCTGGGATCCTGAATTTATGTGTATTAATACACATTCATACTGTACATAAAAAAGATACACAGAGAGAAGACACAGAATACCTCCCTCTTGTTGAGCTCTGGGTGTACTTTGCGTTTGTGCAGTTTCAGAGAGTCCATGCCAACAATTTACATACTAAATACATTCACATGCTAAGATCAAGAAGTTTTGTTCACTTGCCTGTGCCCTTCATGCTGCTTTTCTCTACTGCAAGATAATGTGGTGGTGATTTTCTTTCTTTTTTTTTTTTTTTTTAATATTTGATTTGAATGTGAAGTGGCCCTGCTAAAAGCCCACCATGTTTTGCTGTTCTTTAATCTTTTTTTGTGATTATCCTTGATGTAAGTGGAGAGAGTGCCACAATGAACACTCCAATATGTTTGCCCTTATTTCACTGTTTTTTATAACTGTCCTTAGCATGTGTTTGAAGAACATTTGTTCAACTGATTTGCCTTTAAGTGGAGGACATTCACATTGATGAATTGCACCCAGTCATCCTAGCCAATGCTGAAGCATTTGAAGAGAACTGCAAAGTAACAGTAACATAAAAGGGAACTTTCTAAACCAAAGCCTGTATGTGACCAGCTGATTCTGAAAAACGCACAAGATGAACTCTTTGCATTGCCTTAGCCTGTAAGATTAAAGGTATGTCTGCACAGCAGTCATAGCTGAGGCTTCCTCCCCACTGGCTAACAGGGGAACCTGGAGCAGTTCAGTTACGGTAACATAGGGTTCAATTTTGATTGCAGAACACACCTGCAAAGTAGAGGTAAACAGTCTATCCTGAGATCCTAATGCTGTAACTATGCTGCTTCTGGCTCCGAAGCTAGGGCAGGTGTGTTCACACGTTATCCGAGTTCTTCTCCCCTATGGAGAGGATAATCTTTGAAGATTGTTCAGGATAGCAGCACCAAACAGAATAAACCTTTGAAACCTTGATCATCCATCACACTGCACTGAACATAAAACTTGAGTGTTCAGACAGCCAGGTAGCTGACAACACTGCAGTGAGATATGTGGTGAAAAGTTTTATCTATGCTCCCTCACCTCTACATTGTAACTTTTCATTCTTCATATACCATTGTCTTGGATCTTCACATGCCAAGTCTGGGCTAAAAAGTCACTATAATGAATACAGGCTCTGCAAAGCTTGCATTGAGTTAATGTGTTTTCGCCCTCAGTTTGTTTAAAAAGCCAAATTTATAAGCAAATGGGAAACAGTAGCTGTGTAATTAATGAAAAGTATTGCATATTTGAAAGATACAAAAACAGGAGGCTAGTCAGGAAACCGAAAGAAGTGGCATATAATTAATCTCACCATAAAGTAAGCAAGACCTACTGGCATGTGAATTTTACAGTGAATCTTCATGTGCTGCTCACCACTGTGGACTTTTTAAAGCATTCCTTAGGGATGCTTAGAACAAAGAGATGAAGGTAATGGAGGTGTGTGGAAGTCTTCGACGTGTGAAACAAGAGGAAGACACCCTGAATGTAATGGTTATGTTGAAATTGTTATACCTGTTAAGTGATGAAAGAAGCCCAAATGCAACAAAATGCTGAATACATATAAATCACTGACAGAGATCCTATATTTGATTGGAGGGAGAAATCACATGTTTTTAAAGTAGTGTATTTTCCTTTAAATATGCTGGATGTGAAAGGTAGCTTGCTCTTAGTGACCACTTCCTAACAGGAAATAAGTGTGTTTCATTTTGATATAATACATCCTCTGTGTTTCAAAGTCACTGCTTATTATATGTAAATAACATACTCGGTAAACTATTAACAGTTTGGGCATATGTGTTTTCCAGGAATTAGGCAAAAATTGTATAAAACTTTATAAAACATACACCTTTGTACAAAACTACATGTGGAGAAGAGTCTTAGAATAATTTCAAAAAAAAAAAAAAAAACAGAATCCATTCAGATTCTCTGGATAGAAGTGTATTATGTCTCAAACATTTTTTCCCTGTCTATAATTTCATTATATTTAATTTTCTTCCTTTTTTACCTGAGCTCCTGCTCTACATCTGAAAATTGATGCTAATTTTCCTTAAGGATGACTTGATCTTATGCAGTAGTATACAGTAAGATTAATTCCACTCTCCTCAATGTTTACTGTAGCAAGATGTTCCAAAACAGTAAGAATTCAATAGCTACAGAAAAGATTTCCATTTCAGTTCATAATGAAAAGGGCCAGGGATCCTATATGCTGTTATTGAAGGCACATTATGTCCTCCCGAGTCTGCCAGTATATCCTGACTGTGGAAATTAAATAGTGTTTCCTTTCATCTGACCAGTAGATTCCAGGTGAAGTGGAGGAATTGGTTTTATTTGCATACATGTGTTTGTCTAATCATGTCATAAGCTTCAGGGTCTGATTTGCTGTCTACCCCTTCTTCATCAAAAGTGTGTGGGACAGTTGTTGCAAAATGCAAGAAATAAATATTGTGACAGAGAGAGAGGTCTTGGAAACATGATGTTCCATGGAAACACATGTTCCAATTTCTCTCTTACAGATCTATTAAGGCTAAAAAAGGTTAAAAGTTTATTAAGGTCTATTAAGGCTAAATTCATATAGCCATAATGACTACCTCTCTTATCTTTTTCACAGTACCAGTCATCTGCCCAGAGTTTTTCCAAGAGACCTTCTCCAAGGTCTCACAGTCACTGCTGGGGCTCATTTTTGCACTCATCTGCTGCCTGTAACTTACCTATCTGTCTACCACCATAAAACTTTTTTGATTTGGATATTGCGGTTGACTTTACCATATGAAATGGCCACCAAAAGAAAGCTATCCTCATTTCCCTTCCTCTCCCTCTGGTTTTAAAAGGAGGTGATTGATACACAAATACTTTGTATTCCCTTGTGCTCAGTAGCATTTATGGGACTGTGGGAAAGAATTACCCTCAAGGAATGCTGTGTGCAACAAAGCTGGAATGAGATTCTTCACCTTTTAGTTAATCCAACCACCAAGCTAATGGATTCCAGATGTGACCCTTCTGTCTGATATACCTATATGTAACCCTGAATTGACAAAAAACATGTAATGAGGATCTTTATTGCTCCGATAAGTGTGTGAAATATTGTCAAAAGCAGTTCTCAAAATGCATATCTTCTTGACTCTCCTTCATTGTAAATCTGTACTAACTGACTCTATCAGCAAAAAAAAAAACAAGCAATCACAGCAATCAGGTGTGTAGGTGGACAAGACTTTGGTTTTCCCTTTATAAAAAGGCACGTGTAAGTTTCTGGTTAAGAGTTTATGCTGCCACAGTTTAACAGAAATTTAACTCTGCAGTTTAACGGAGTCGGAGCCGACTGGGCAGCTCTCCCTAAAGGTACCTGACGCCCAGTAGGACAGAGCCTTTGACTGCACTGTGCTCTGAGCACATCACAGGCCGGGCAGGCAGCACGTGCTGCAGGCAGACACGGCAGTTCGGCCGCTCCAGGAAACACCTCTCGCCAGGTGCACCCTGTCGTGTAACAAAAATGAGAGTCTTTATCCCAAATCCTTTGGAACCAGCTTGACTCACGATGCTCATCTGCATTCGCATGTGCGCATGCTTCTGCTTGATTGTTTTTACAGTGCTTTGAAATTAATGGGATGACGTGCGAAAAAGACAGTTACCATTTTAACATTCCTCATACTGCTCTTAAAACTTGTGTGCAGATGTGCACTTTGCCTACCTTAACTAGCGAGCGTGCACGGCCGCACGGTTCCCATCTCTCCATCGCTCCTGCGCATGTGTAGCTCCTCCTGTTCTGCGCCAGGTGAGCTCTGCAGGCATGGGCAGGCACAGCTCTTGACCCTGTGCGGTGTTCACATGGCTCTGGCTTTCCACATCTGGATACCAGAAACAGCATCTAAGGACTGTATTTGCTGATAGTTCCCTTCAGGAAAGACTGCCAGGTACTTAGAGGCTCTGAAAAAAAAAAGTTAACTGGAACGTTTTTGTATGAGAATATGTTTTATTATTGGACACTATTGAAAATGATTCGCAAATACTTGAGCACCACATAAGGACTAGGGTTTTTTGGCGGAGGGCAAGAGAGATGGGGCAGCAACTGGTTGAATTGCCATTTCAAACACAAAACCAAGGGGCTTTTGGCAAACAGTTTAATAGTTACATACAAATAATTCAAGACGTTTCAGAGATGTTTTATAGTTTAATGTTTATGCAAAAATAGAAGAGAATATTTCTAATTCATTTCACATTGAGTGACAGATGGAGATATATTTTGTTTAATCACTAACACAGAGGCTTCTTTAAAAGAAAAAGTTTATTTGTAGCATTGGGTGCACTTCTCCTTTTTAAAGACTGTCTTTGCGCAAATAGTGTCCTTTCTTGTGAGCTGGGAATTGTAAAAAAATGTAAAGTAGAAAAGGATGTGTTTCTTAGACAAGGAGAAATACTGTAAAATTGTGTAAATGTCACTACTCGTGTTTTTGTTGTTTTTTGTTTTTTTTGTTTTGTGTTGTGTGTAGCATAGTGTAAAATAGGCTTTCCAGCAGTTTTATTCTGTGAATTGTAATTTAAAAAATAAGCCATGCATGGTCAGAGATAATACCTACAGGTCCTTTTGTTCAGTTGAGTTTTTGTTTTTCTTGTTTTCTCATTTTAGGTAAACTTGTTTTGTGTTAAATTTAATTGTCCATGAAACTGCATTTTTGTTTCTCAGTTTTATTTCATAAAGAACTTGAATTGCTGTTTAAGGTTTTACTACACAGAAAGCTCACCTACAATTTGAATTCATCCTTCAGAAGCTTTGTCACATTAGGTGTAAACTAGGGGGATTTGCTTTTTTAGCATACCTCTTCTCTGCCTCTTCTCCCCCCACTTCACTGTCTGGAAATATGCAGTCACTTTTTTTTTTTTTTTTTTTGGTCTTTTCCTATGCCATGCAGGATCAATATGGGAAACTGGCTGCAGACCTGTGTCCAAAATGTCTTGATTTAAGTAGTTAAAAGCTCACCTCTACAGCATTATGTAAACACATCTTGCAATAAAGCTTTATAAAGTTCTGACTGTGCCGAGTCTTGCTTTTGAGGATGAAGACAATCATGGGGGCTGTGCTGAGTAATGAGTGGGAACAGGATTAATGGGTTGCTTTTTTCATACTCTTTGTGTACCTGTGAAGCCCCTATGTGGGCAACAAAAGAGCT